CTTAAAAGTAATACCATATAAATCTTTTATGTTTGTAATTTTAAATCAGAAATGGCTTTGGCCATCCATTTCATCCAAGTTTTCAGTTATCCGAGGCAGCATCATTACTTCAGATAATTGGGGTTCTGCGGTACTGTACATTCAAATGCTGTATCCAAATTCAATGCCAGACTTGCATGTCTGGCATTGAATGCAGTATACTGCATATAAAATGAGGTTTTTATTCATTTATCACAGCTTCAAATTCCTAGATCGTCCTATATGCCTGAGCAAAAGATTCTTTGCGTTTTTGCAAATAATTTTTGTGAACCGTGTATTTCCATTTTTTTACCAGATGCTTACCCTCTTGTATTTAAAAATATAAGTATTTTATCTGGGTCATTTGAATTGTTCTTGTATGTTGTCAGAAGTAATGATGAATAAATCAGAATTGTCAGAAGTAATGATGAATAAATTAGGAAAAGCTTTGCTTTTCCTAATTTATTCATCATTACTTCTGACAATATACAAGAGGAATAAATGAGGGAGGAATAAATTCTGACAATATACAAGAGTATACATGAGGGAGGAATAAATTAGGAAAAGCTTTGCTTTTCCCCCTTTATTCCTTTGCATTAAACAGAAGTAAAAAAGAATAAATTAGGAAAAGCTTTGCTTTTCCTAATTTATTCATTTTTACTTCTGTTTAATGCAAAGCTTTTGAATTGAATTCCAGATTGAAATTCCAAAATCACATTGAGCCTGATATAAGTTTTAATCCATTCCCACATGAAAACAGTGATATACAAGATCATTATTAAGAAATCAGAATTCGGAGAAACTCATAAGTGTAATCAATGGAGAGTAGATTAGACTGTTAAGAAATAGCAAAAAAAGTTTCCCACTTGTCCAGCTTTACATGAACAAATTATGTTGTTGATTTACAAGATTTTTCCTTAAAGTTTAAAATGCCAGTAATTTTTGCAGGACAATGTGTGCATTTACATTCATTTGATATTTTATTTGTGATTAAACAAAATAAAATTAGAATTGTATTAATAAATGTAATTTTCTTTATTTTGATCTTTAAAGTCACAGCTTGTCTTATATGCAAGTAAATATGGTAAATTAAAACTATAATAGATATGTGTATAGATTGTTTCATGTTACTTGCTGGATGTTTTCACAATGCAAATTCAATTGATCAGAATTTATCTTAAATTATATTCTTCCAGCAATTTCTTTAATGTCTTGAAAAAATTACTTTAAAATTTAGATACTATTTTCTTTTATCAATGTTTAATTAAATTATATTTTTTTTATGTGTTATCAATTTTATAATATTTTATTCAGTTTCATTGAAAATCCCTATAAAAAATATTGTTTGGTGATNCTACGTTAATTAAGCCTATATATATATATATAAACTAAATAAAAATTTAATTTTTAAATTTATCAGCGAATTAATTATTGTAAATGATTGAAATGTACCTGTTTGAAGTGGTCCATTGAAATCTCCTAAACGATATCCTGTAGCTTTTGCTCCTTCTAGATAACCTTCTGTTATAGGCGAAGAAAATTCGTGAAATTGAATTGGCATATCTCCACCAATTCCATGATAGCCTGCAAATATTTCAAAAGATCATATTGTATTGTAAAACTAAAAAGACCAGAATTTTATAAGTAAATTTCATGAAAACGTGAAGCTTGCTTTAAAAAGGATATAATTTTTATCGGTTATATAAACGTCTTCAATGAAACAGTTTAGTTAAACTTAAATCATTATTTGTTCATATTCATCCATAGTAATTATTTTTTTTTACTTTGCATTAAATAATTTATTATTTCAGTTACCATTATCTACAATTTCAGGATTTAAATTATCTTCTTGTCTAAGAAAATAAGGAAAAACATTCTTCCAATCCCATCCTATCGCACCGTTGCGTGCCCATTCGTCGTAATCGTATTTATTTCCACGGGCATAAATATTAGTATTTACCATAGCAGTTCCACCCAGTAATCTACCTGCCCCTAATTCGATACTCTAAAAAAATATAACATTAAAACTGTATAATATACTTGAGAAATTAAATTTCAAGAAAAGTGTTAGAAATCTTACTCTTCCTTCCACTGCGTGTGCTATTCTTTCGCTTGGGAGAGAAGTGTAATTCCATGTATATTTCGTTCTAATTAGGCTTGAAGATGTTATTGGGAACTCGGTTACTAAAGGAGGACTTTCTCCTGCTTCTAATACAAGTACTTTAATTGAAGGATTCTCCGATAATCTTTTAAGTAAAACTGATCCAGCGGTGCCAGCGCCAACTACCGAAAATTAAATGAAATATTTTAATAATAAATAAATAAAATATATTATCTAGTTTAAATTTATGAATTTATAGATTCATAGAATTATTTTTGTTATTATTTTTTTATTGTATATTTCAGTATTATCGTGCTGTATATGAAAAAAAAATTGGTCATAATGACATTCTGTATGCATAGATGTTTGTGTGTGTGAGAAGGGGCGTGATTTTGTTCACCCTCTGTGAAGCTTAATGACTCCTGTATTTTTGTCGAAAATTTCTGAAATTTTGCATAGAGGTTTGTTTATTAGAGGATTGATGCTATTAAATTTTGGTAATTAAAGGTCGAAGGGGCGGGAAGATAAAAGTGATCGTGTGTCTCTAATATTCTTAATTATTATTTACTATAATATATTAGCGTTATTAACATTTACAACTTTTTATAAAATCTATTCCTACCCTCAAAATTAACCTTTTTGCCATTTGTTAATACTTGAAAATATAAAAAGTTTGTTTTAATAAAATATTATAACAGATGGCACCACCAAATGTGGCTGAGAAAGTTAAGCAACCCGTTGTTGGATTTTTAAAGTGGGCATTGATTTTTTAATAAACAAAAATAGTAAGAAAAATTTTTATTAAGGTAATTATTGTAAAAACAAATCGCTAGCATGTTTCCAAATTATAAAAAGTGTTTTAAAAATATAATTTCAATTTTATAAATTATGATTTTCAAAACTGAAATGTGTATATAGTTGTATTTAACCAGAGCAATAGAGAGCTTGTAGGGAGTAGAGCGAACTTCTTTTGCCATTTTTAAACAAATTAAATACGCAAAATATTTTTTATTAATAAAAACATTCTTAAAGCTCTTAGTTTCGTTAATAAAAGCAACATTAATTTACAGGGGTAGAAACCACTAAAGATCCCTAAGTTTTCTCCCTGCCAGAGAAAAATTGTCAAGCACTCCCTCTCGAAGACCCTGCATCTAACTTATCCTATCTTTTACATTTAACCTAATTAACTCACAAACCTAATTTATATTTGACCAAAGGCTGCCAAATTATTAGGCTATAGGGTAAAGTTGGGTAATGACACTCAGTGGGTAATCCTGCTCACTTAGGTATCTCAAAACAGAATGGAATTGTGAATGTGTGATTGATGTGGCCAGCTAGCAAATGTCATTGTAAGTTTATAGTTAAGTAGTGCTCCTTCTTTCATTTGTGTTGTTTTTGAGGTGAGCTCTTAGAAAATTTTGCAAATTTCAACTCAAGATAAGTACATCTTTATTTTAAATTCTTAGTTATAATCATTATGTGTATAAACTACATATATTTATCTTTCCATTCCTGCTTTTTGTTTGATTTATAATACTGTTAGGCAGAAAAAAAAAGCATCAGATTCAATACGGCGATGAAGGGTAATTACACTTATTTAAATCAAGTACAACTATAGTGCGTTTAGGTAATATTTCACATGTTTCTTGTATTTTATACAATACTGAATGGCAAAAATTGAGAAGACAATAAAAAACATTCACAAATTCTAATAGTTATTCCAGAAAATTGCAAACTAGAGGCATTAGAAAGTAAAAATCTGAGACAATCCAGACAGAAATGCAAAAAAAAAAATGGTCACACAAAGATGCAGAGGTGCAGAAAGTCCAAATAATTACAAATGTGACTATTTTCTACACAAATCTTCAAGTGAAATTAAGAGTACCAATGCCTAATCATTGAATAGTAACACCTGACGTAGTTGGATATTCATACTTGATGCATTGGAAATTGATTAGGTCATTTTAAAAATTTTTATTAAAGTAAATAGCATCAAGTTGTAAAGTACTGTACACTTTACATTTACACTTTATTAATATGTTTGCATAAATTTGTATATTGTTTTAGTTTTCACTAAATTGTATATTATTTTTAGAGGCACAACATTACCCTAATATGACTATTTTATTAATTAAATATTAAATTATTTGTTTAGAGGTAGACTTTTATGCTACCATCTCATACTAGATTTAATAATTATAATAAATTTTATTTAAATTGCATTTTCTGGAAGAAAAAATCTGCCTGAACTGAGACTAAGAGTTGCATGTTCAAGTCCCACTCTGAGCCAATTCTTTTCTTCCAGAAAATTCTAAATTGAATTAAATTAGTTATAATTATTAAATCTAGTATGAGATAGCAGAATAACTGCCTATCTCTAGACAAATTAATTTAGTATATAATTAATTACATAGCCATATTATAGCTCAATAATTTGGCAGTTGCTTGGCTGTAAAAATATTTTGCCATAGGAATTTAAAATATTTTATTTATTTCTAATTTCTCTGATGATATTAATCACATAAACTTCAAAATCATTCAGATAAATTAGATAAATTACTCATATGTTAAGAATATCTTATTATATTATATTTTATTATATTATATTTTACTGATATAAGAATACTGTAATCTCTAAATTGATATGAAAAGTCCCGTGCCAATGTCTTTGACAATTATGGTTAAATTTATAGTTGTTAAACAACTGAAAAACCGAACCTTTCCTTAAATAAACTTGCATAAATACTTATTTCTAATATTGCCATTGAACTGCTCATTAGGGTATCTAATTATACATCATTGTACTAACAAGTTTTATAATGTTGTATAAATGGTGTAGCCAGCCATTAACTCTAAACTTTATACTTTATATTTTTTTCAGGGGAAACCATCCATGTGTGTCCAGCAGGTTTCCTGAATTTGGAAGGTATTGGTTGGCTATTACAAATTTATCTCTGTCAGACTTTTTTTTCTTTGATGTTAGTACAATAATGTACTGTTATGTTTGCATGTTAAATCTTATAAAAAATATTGATGCAACTTATATAGTTTATGTATTTATAGACCACTTCGTGAAAATGATATATTGTCACCTGAGCAAGGTAGAAGTGTTGCCAAAGAAATTGGTGCTCCCTATTATGAAACAAGTGTTTTGACTCATTTTGGTGTTGGAGAAGTTTTTGAAAATGTTGTTAGAGCTGCTCTTCTTGCTCGAAGACAACAGCGATTTTGGATGACTAATCTGAAACATGTGCAACGTCCGCTAATTCAGGTCTCTCATTTTTTATAAATAATAGTGAAAAATTTATATTAACTAATTTCTTCTATTTTGATTTATGTTAAGTTTGATTATTGATTTAATGATAATAAAGTTAATCTAAATTATATATCTTGTTTTTAATTTATAAATTTTCATTAAAAGATTGAAATAATCAAACATTATATTTCTACTGTTTTTGTCATTTAATTTTATTCAATTATTATTAAATTTAATAATAAAAATAATAAAACAAGCCTATTAGGTGATACGATCTTAATGGCCAGCAATTCAAATGAATTGCTGGCCATTAAGATATTAATCATAAATTAAACTTTGCCAATATTTACAATAACACTTAATGAAATATTAAACACCTTCTATTGTTGAGAATTGTTTATTTAATAAAACACTAACGTTTTCAGCCTCATGGAATAGGCCATCCTCAGGTGTAAATGAGTTTGAATGTATTTTAAAACTGTAACGATGGAAATGTAACTGAGGATGGCCTATTCCATGAGGCTGAAAACATTAGTGTTTTATTAATTAAATAAACATTTCTCAGTGATAGAAGGTGTTTAATATTTCATTGTTTTAAAAATGCTGAGTTTGATATTCAGTTATTTACAATAACAACATTTACTTTAATACTATTGAGTATTGTTGAAATAAAATTTAATCATATTTTCTCTCTTGTCCTCTTCTATTTTTAATAGATTGGAAAAATTTCATATGATTAGGACAGAGTCTTCTTTTTCAATTATCTATACCTATATTTCTAAAGTTTCTTATTTTACTGTTTCTGTTCATTTTTTTTGTTGACCAAGTTGATTTGCTGTTTTAAAGTCAAACATTGTTAATCAATAAGTTAATAAATGTTACAAATCCACTCTACTCAACACCAGAATACAGTAATACCGCGACTTATGCTACCCCGACTTACGCGATTTTCAAATCTCGTCGATTTGTCTTTTGTTTGAGCACCACGCAACTCTCGATTACTCACTCCCCCCCACACTATTGTTCAGCTTACATCTTCGGACGTGTTGCGCGGAATCGACACATAGCTACAATTTATTTTGTGTTATTTATTTCTGTGTTTGTTATATCTACGGAGACTTGAGAGACTCTGTGTGGTGATTTCTTGTAACTGTGAACGAATCAAAAGATGAGATAAGATTAATGAAAACATTTATTAGCTTATATACAACCGACTTGGATTTTAAACAAATTGCGAAATTATACCCCGACTTACGTGGTTATCGCTCAGTCCCACCTATCGTGTAAGTTCATGGTATTACTGTACAGTTAATTACATACCTCAAAGCTTGTTACCAGTGTGAAATTAACATCAAAAAACAAAAAAAAAAAAAAAAAAGACTTCCACAAACATTTTCAAACCCTTAATGGTTCTTCTTTAGGCAGTGACAAATTTCCATTAGAATGCCAATAGATAAGAACATTATTTGAAATTAGAACACATGCTACCCGATGACATCTCATTTAGGCATGTACACTATAGATGGTAGCAATTGACAAGAATTTTTACAGCTCTTTGTCCATTAGCACTTGCCATGCTACGAACAGATTTAATTCCTCTTTGTGGTTGATACAGGTGTTACTGAGCTGGATTTGTAGATATAAATGGCTTCCACCACTTTAGATGTTCTGTGTACAGTGTGGTGAGGATGATTCTCGCCTGGTTAAAATTCAGCTCTATGTCAAGATCACTGGCATAAATGGCCAGAACAGTAGTTGTCCTGGAATGCTGTATGTCCGCGATGTGCTCTTTCATTCTAACCTCCTAAGGAGTGCTTCGTAGAGCCAATGTAAATGAGTTTTCTATTGCATCTGTGATCTTTAATTGGGATGCTGTAAACTCCGGGGAGTCTGTCCCAATTAGGAACAGCCTTTCTGTTACGCAGGATGTCAAATATGGTTGGACATCTTCTATACGTGATGCGAATGTAGCACTTCTTAGCTATCTCTGTATACAGTGACTTAAGGTAGGAGTTATAAGTGACTGGGATCCTTTCCTAGTCCTCAGGTTGAACTTCATCATGATAGTGGACTTGGAGTGCTTCTTTAAGTCACTATATACAGAGATAGCTAAGAAGTGCTACATTCACATCATGTATAGAAGATGTCCAACCATATTTTACATCCTACGTAACAGAAAGGCTGTTCCTAACTGGGACAGACTTTCCGGAGTTTACAGCATCCCAATTAAAGATCACAGATGCAATAGAGAACTCATTTGCATTGGCTCTACGAAGCACTCCTTAGAAGGTTAGAATGAAAGTGCACATCACGGACATACAGCATGCCAGGACCACCACTGTTCTGGCCATTTACGCCAGTGATCTTGACATAGAGCTGAATTTTAACCAGGCGAGAATAATTTTCATCACACCATACACGGAACATCTAAAGTGGTTGAAAGCCATTTATATCTACAAATTTAGCCTCAGCAACACCTGTATCAACCACAAAGGAATTAAATCTGTTCATAGCATGGCACGCACTACTGGACAAAGAGCTGTAAAAATTCTTGACAATTGCTACCATCTATAGTGTGCATGTCTAAATGAGATGTCGTCGGGTAACATGTGTTCTAATTTCAAATTATGCTCTTATCTATTGGCATTCTAATGGAAATTCATTGCGGCCTGAAGAAGAACCGTTAAGGGTTTGAAAATGTTTGTAGAAGTCTGTTTTTTTTTTTTTGTTTGTTTGTTTGTTTTTTGATGTTAATTTCACATCAGTCACAGGCTTTGAGGTACGTAATTAAAAAATGTTATTTGTATTATTAAAATATTCAAACATTTAAAATAAATGAAAACAATTTTTAATTATGATATTTATACTTTCACTGTTTTTATAAAATAATGGCAAAGGTTTTCAACGTATAATTTTGTGAATATGAATTATAACAAGATTGTTAAAATTTCAGTGTATAAAATATATTCATGAATTTTAATTACTTGTATCTTAAATAAAAACCACAACTGTAAACTGGAACGATATATATAGAATCTCAACCTAAATGTTAAATTTCCAGCAACACACTCAAACTACAGTGTATCGCAAACACACTTACATCCCCCTATTCATACCGGCCAACTCTGCTGACCCTTGGTCATATAAAACGTCTTTGTTTTGCGCACTTGTGGCTAGAGCCCACTCACATTGTATGTAGCTCTCGGATACTAATAATGAGCTAAAACAACTGAAACATATCACATCCAAGCATGGGTACAGCCACTCATTTATCAATAATATAATGTCCACATATCAGGCCAGGTCAGTCAACACCAATACTAATGTTTACAACACAGAAAAGAAACGGGTAGTCCTAAGTTACAAACCATCCCTCCATCACATATACAGGAGGATTGCCAAGGATTTAAACATACTCATAGTGTACAAAAGGAAACACACCATGTTCCATCTTTTGTCTAATGTTAAGGATCACACTGAGGATGCAAGAGCACCTGTAGTTTACAACACCCGACTACAGGATGATAGGTTCAACAGGACACTAATGTACATTGGTTCCACATACAGATCATTACAAACCTGGGTATGAGATCACAAGTACGATGTGGCAAAAGGAAACATCAATACGGCTCTGGCCTGGTATGCTATCGAACTGGGAATTTCCCCTTTATTGGACAAAGCTACCCTAATACACAGGGTATTTGACAGACAATACATAAGAGCATTAAAGGCTGCAGAAATCTATAGGGCTGATATAAGAGGAGCATGCATCAACACAGATTACATTCCAAATGCATGGAAGTATTATTTAGACTCTTAAAGGAATATATGTTGCTTAGTATACATTACAACTGTTGTTCAAACTGATTTAAAAAAATTTTTTTTTAAATTGCATGTAGAACATGGCTACATTCTATAAATAGAACAGTTATTTTCATTTGACTTTTCCTGATGAAGGCCGATTATTAAGGGGTGGCCGAAAATATTTGAATGTTGAATTTGAGTGTGTTGCTGGAAATTTGATGTTTAGGTGAGATTCTATTTTATCTTAAAAATAATTTTATAAAAATGAAACAAGCAATTATTTATTGTAACATCACAATGCCAGCAATTTTTTATCATAGTTTTAATTTATTTAAGTTATATGCTCTCCACCTTAAATTAGTAGTTTTGCCCCTATACATCATACTTCTCAGCTAGCAATAGAGTTTGCCAGTCATTTATCTAACTCCTTTCAGGGAAAATTTTTGAATTGAAGTAATGTGATTTCCAGTGCAAACCAGAAGTTCATATATAGTTAATCAGGGCCTCCTGCCCCAAAGTTTTCCATATCTAGTCTTGAATTTCATCTATCTAACTCTGTTCTCGAGATTAAAAAAGGAAGGACAGACAGACAAACAGCAGACTGACAACAATGGAAATTTATAGGTCTACAATTTTTTCAAATTGTAGCCCAATAATTGTTTTGAATAAAGTTATGATAAATATCACTATTAGTAAAATTTTCAATATCTTTGCCAAAAAAAAGAACAAAGAAGTTCACAGTGTTTCCATATTTGATCTTCAACTAGAAGTTATATCATCAACAAATTCACTTATATCATTCTAGATTATTGAAAGATATTCTTGAATTAAACTATATGTAGAAAATAATAATTCTTATTAATTTTCATCAAAATAAATATAACTAGAAATATACATTAAAATGTTGGAAATTTAAATTATTTTTTAAACTGAAAATAAAATTATTATACATCATATTCTATCAGTTCTTTATCATACATATATATAATTAATTAAAAGTTCTTAAAAATTAAAATATAAGAAACATAAATTAAATTTTAGGTACCTTTTTGTCCACCACAACCACCACCACCAGAATTATCTGTGCCACCTTCACAGTTTGAAGAAGATATGTTTGCCTTGTTTCAAAGTCAAATCTATACAGATGTCATTTTCTTAGCTGGTAAAGTTGGTTTCTCTGCTCATAAGGCAGTGCTGGCCGCTGTCTGTAATACTTTCTATAAATTGTTTACTATGGATCTGTCATCTGAAATACTTTCTGGATGTCGAAGTACCAGTGATTCTAGTATGGTAAGTTAGTTGTTTGAATATACTATACCTCTATTATATTTTAGTAAATTCTTTTTAATTTGTTTCTCTCTGATATCTATAAATTTAAATTAAGAATAAATATAACTTAATAAAATTTTGGCAGAGTGCCATAATTTAGTATAATGATATATAATTCAAATGATTTAAACAAAGAAACACAGGTGATCCAAAAGTATCCATACATAAGCCTAGACATGTATTTCTGAATGTATATACAGAACAAGTAGGAATTCAAAGGATATGCTCAATGTGGTCACTGTCATTGCACAGTTGAATGCAGGTTGCCCACCAAGTTGTACAGCCTTTGAAACATCAGGGGCCGTAATCTGGTCATTGTCTCTCGTCTCTCACAAGCCAATCGCTGATTGGCTAATCATTTGTTTATGTCTCGAGAGATCATCACGTCTCTCTAAACGTGATTCTGGACAACTTTTTCTCTCTTCACTTCTCTCATATTTTTGCGACGAGTGGATAGTTGTCTTTTGACAGGCCTATTGTCTTTCGCCTCAATTTCGTTATATCCAATATGGACGACTCAATGCTATTCATGCTATATGATCGCCTTACAAAACATTCCCTATCTCGAGAAAGAGTATTTTGAGATAGCGATAATGCTTTTGATTTAGACGATGAGGAATTTCGCTCAAGATTTTTTCTAATGAAAGAAGCTATCACATGGCTGTGCAACGAATCGCAGGATGATTTAATCCGGAGAAAGTCACGGACCATAATTCCACCAGAAATTCAGTTCAGTTTGGTGATGGTATCATGTGTCCCTGAGTGGCATTGTAACATATATGGCCACAATATTGTGACTGCTGCCAGACCCTGCATAAAGAATTATCTCAATCTGTTCTTCCTTAGAGAAGTCCATCATCACTGGTTATCTGCAAAGAAAGAAAAGGTTTGCAATATTGCCTATGTATGGATACTAGTTTTTGCTAAATGAGCATGGGGATAAAAAATTAATTTACATTCTATTTTTAAATTTATTATTATTGCTGTTATATAATGAAATTTACAATATTTTTAAAGATAGTAAAAAAATATTTTAATTTATAGACAAATTTTAAAAATCATTGAAAAAGAATTTTAACTATATTTTATTTAAACTAAAGAAGCTTTAATTGTACTGAATATGAAAGCATTTTTCATCATTTAAAGGATATTTAATATACTTTTTTAATGAATTATAAAATTTAAAGGACTCTTTTCTATGTATAACTAACAGAGTTTGAGAAAGGCTGCATCATTAGCCTGAAGAAAACAAGGTGACTGTTTTGCCAAATTGCCTGCCATTTTATTATTCTAATCTGACTGAGAAATGTTAGGGACAGTTGATATGTCAATGAACAAATACACAGGAAGCAAGCTTTGTATATTCTGGATAGATCATTAGGAAAAATGATTATCTGATTGTGAGACAAGCTCAAACAGCATCTTTATCCACCATCCAGAGACAGATGAATGCCACCTGTCTCTGGATGGTGGATAAAAATGCTGTTATATAAAACTCTGGATGAAGACTCTTTTGCAGAGGAGAATTTACATATATAGTGACCATTATATAGCCTGCCATTAACACTCCAACATTATTGCTTTCATTTTCAGTGGTTATGGACTGACAGCATATTGTCATTAGTAATGAATCTCAAGTTTTGTTTGGGAACATATGACCATTTCAATCCTGTCTTTGCTGTTGAATGGCACATTGCCCTCAAATGCAGTCTAGGAGAACTATCTCATATAACAGTCAAATACCTCTAGTAATGGTACAAGGGACATTGATAACACAGTGGTACATTCAAGAAATCCTGCACTTTCACATGTTGCTTGTGATGGCAGACCTACAAACAGAGACAATTATGGGAAATCCTAGCTGTTATGTTGCTGCACTTCCTCGGGTTGCCTGGTCTCCAGAGGGTCCAAGTCCTCATCCATTGAGCATTTGTAGAACCAGGTGGAATGACATCTTTAGCAGTCATAAGTATAAAGGATTTGGAGCCCCTGGACAAGTCTATCACAAGATAGCGTATTGTACTTGTGTGTCTCAATGCCTGATTATATCACATGTATCCAGGCAAGAAGGAAGGTCCTATAAAGTACTAAAGGTTCCTTTTAATTTGTACTGTTGTTACACAGAAAATTGTGATAATGATGGTAATAAGTGATTACAATATCAAATAGTTTTTGTCAATTCCAATGCCTTCTCTTGGTGTATAATTTTGTTTTTCAGTGAGTGTATATTGTAGTATTTGCATATATGATCTGCTATAAATGTTTTTATTAATAGAACTGCAATTCCTCTATTTTTAAAAATTTTTTTAAATTCTTATTATTTTAGATTAGCACACTAGAAGCATCAGTAGGAAGCTTCAATGCTGATACAGAACAATTAATATGTGAAAGTACGCCAACAACCACCCGTGCCTCTTTTCGTTTACCACGCAATCATCATCATACAAGTAATACCACAAATAACAATAGCAATTCAACTGGCAGTGCGATGGCTGCTAGTATTGTTCGTCGTCGTTCTAGTTGCCAGATACACCCTGAAACAACCACTGCCGCAGCTATGGGTGCCACTCTTGGCAGAGCTGGCATTCAGCGCAATCTTAATCATCTAGCATTCCAGTCTATTAGTTTAGAACAATGTGAAGGTATAGATCATCGTGGAAAAATGACGTCATCTGCACAGACAGTTGTTACAATTTCTAAATTAATCATACCAGCTGCTCTCCAACAAACTCTAAGGTAATTTAAAATTTAAATTTTTTATTTTTATATGATACAATTAAAATTTTATTAAGAAAAATATGATTGTTATAGTCTTTGAATCTTTCTGCCATTATTAATATTTGTTTCTATTACTGCTTGTTGTGAAAGCCAAATCTTGTTAGTCTTCTTAACTGGGAATGTCAACTGTTCTATTAGTTTACAACCATTTTTGACTGAAGCTGACCTAAAGAAGGTTGAAAACAAGCAGTAACAGAAACACACAAAAATATATGAAATTCAATTCATTTTATGTATTTTACAAAAGAAGAAAGTATTTAAAAAATGTGAGACAAACTTATACAACTAAAAATTTCATAAATCTTTCAAATTAAAATTACAATAATTAAATATTAATTTAACAAGTTTAATGTATTTATATATGGATTATTTGGATAATAGTGAGTAATAGCACTTCTCTTGGAATCTCAACAAATATCTCTCTTTTCTGTTCTTGGAACAGTGGACAGTATAAAAAAAAGATTAATAGAGTTTTGAAGTTCTCCACAAAATACACAAATTTGGATGCAAAAGAATGATTTGATTTTATATTTAATATGAAATTTATTCAATGTAATTTGTAGTAATACGAGGTCTGTTCAAAAAGTATCGGACCTTTGGTCCTCAAAAATACATTTATTGATTTTGAGGTACAAAACCCTAATCCCCTTCAAAGTAGTCTTCCTGGTAGTGTATACACTTCTCCCAGCGTTCCTGCCATTGCTGGAAACACTGCTGGAATGCATCTTTTGGAATGGCCATCAGCCAGTCCGTCACATTCCGCACGATGTCTTCTCTCGACTAAAATCGGGTTCCTTTTAGCGGCATTTTCAGCTTGGGAAATAGCCAAAAGTCACACAGAGCCATATGGGGAGAATACGGAGCGTGACGAACCACAGGAGTATTGTGTTTGGTGACGAAAGCCCGAATCAGATGTGCAGAATGGGTGGATGCGTTATCACGATGGCGCTGCCAAGTTTTGATCGACCACAGATCCGGTCATTTGCGTCGCACAGCATCGGAAAGATGACGAAGGACCTCCTGGTAGTACTCCTTTGTGATGGTTTGGCCTCATGGTGCGTACTCACGATACACCACCCCATGAGAGTCGAAAAACTGTCATGTGATATTGCTGCGGACCTACCGCGCTTTTTTTGGCCTTGAGGATCATCCCTGAAAGCCTGCTGAATCTTGCGAATGGTTTACGCTCGGGTATCGCCAAGGTTTTTGGCAAAATTTGATGTAATATCGCTGCTCACATTGTTCAGTCATTTTCCAACTTAGTGGAATCCGACGAGAGCTCACTACATGTCTTCACTCATAGGCTGACTGCCAACGACTAACGCTTCCTGCAGGCGGGAAAAAATTCAGGGCTGTGCATGACTGTCCCCTCCACAACTCCACCGAAAGAGGCCTCCCGCGCATCATTGGTTTACGCGGAAAAAATAAAAGTCCTCGTATAATTGAACAGATTTCGTATAATTGTAGCTTCATAGTGAAGATGATAATTAAATATATCTTATTCAATAAGCATGTACTAACATTCTGAATACCAAGGGTGAAATAATGAAGTATTGGGTTGTTCGGAAAGTAATTTTGTTTTTTTTACCACTAGATGGATTAGTTGTATTTTTCCTGCCATTTTCATTCTAAACTGTATTATCAATATATATTTTGACAGCTAGCATTTTAAGGCTTATTTGTAAAAAAATTTTGTTTGATTCTGTGCAATTGTTTATTTTTTTGTGTCCCTTCAAATATGGAAGATCGAAAGCAGCATTTTCAGCATAGTTTGCTCTTTTATTACCGAAAAGGTAAGAATGCTGTTCAAGCAAGAAAATTGTGTGACGTGTATGGAGAAAATGTATTAAAAGAATGACAGTGCCAAAACTGGTTTACAAAATTTTGTTCTGGCAATTTCAATATTGAAGATGCACTACGTTCTGGATGGCCAGTTGAAGCCAATGAAAACAAAATAAAGGTACTGATTGAAGCAAACTGCTGAATAACAACACGTGAAATTACTAAGAGATTAAATTTGTCAAATTGAACTGTTTATGATTATTTGAAACAAATTGGTTTTGTTTCAAAGCTTAATATATGGGTTCCACATGTTTTTAAAGAGAGATGCTCTCTTTGGTGGGATTTTAAGGAAATTTTTTTTTGGAGCTTTTACCAGACAAATTTAACAATTGATTTGAAAGTGTACTGCCATTGAGTAAACAAGTTGAATAATATCATCAAACAGAAAAGGCAGCCAGAATTGATCAACAAAACAGGTATAGTGTTTTACCACGATAATGTCAAATTTCACACAAGTTTGATAACTCGTCAGAAACTGTTATAACTTAGATAGGATGTGCTATCACACCAACCATATGTGCCAGATCGAACACACTCAGATTATTACTTGTTTCAATCTATACAAAATTTTTTTAACTGTAAGACACTTACTTGAAATGACAATGTCAAAAATCATTTGGATCGGTTTTTTGTAAGCAACGATGAAAACTTTTATGAATGTTAAATCATGCTACTACCAGAAATGATGACAACAGGTATTTGACCAAAATGGTCGATATATAATTCAATAAAATATTTATTTATTATATAAATATTGTTTTTTTTTCCCCACGGAAAAAACGAAATTACTTTCCGAACAATCCAATATTTACCTCTTGTGGTCTAACTGATTAGATATAAACAATCAGAGTTTGAGACCAATAATCCTGATAATTCCCACTATTTGCAAGAATTAAATTAGGATTAAAGGATTAAGATTAAAATATCTTTTATAACAACATTAGACAGTGAGTTGATCCACGGGTAAGCCTATTGTAAAGATATTGTTCTGAATAGAACTTTTGCAGAAGTTGATATTCTAATGATTGAATATTTTACAAAATACTACAAATAAAATTTTGAATAATATTAATTAATTTAATTTTTAAAAACATGAATTTTCAATGAATATTTACCAGATTCTAGTCTAGTTGCATAGTCTGAGCTGATTGATTGAACTTAAACATACTTCACAAGAACTGAAGTTAGATTTTGTTAATAACCAAATTGGTGCTACATATAAACATTTACCCAAACATATTGAGTAAAATAACTCTTGTGCTATTTTTATTGAACTAACTTTTATATTGGAAGATGAAGAAATAAACCCTTATTTTTATTTACATGAATAGTTTGTCAGATGATATAAAATTTTTTGTAACAATACAGTGGGTGATCAGCTAATGAACAAATTGGATAACGAACACTTTCACGAATGATTTTTATGAATCAGACAACGAACACTTCACTGAACAAACACAAGAAGAAGCAATGTAAAATAACGAATACTGATTGGTCTTCCTTTCTCTTCAGGCAACAATTCAAAACTTTTCGGAGCACGTGAGACGTTGACATCAACGTTCTACCCAGTATATACTGATCAGATAGTATTCCCCCAAACTTTGAAACTCTCCCTTGTAATTCCAGCCTTTTATATTTCTGACAGAAACAATTCTTTTACGTTTTCTTCTGAAAATGCAGATTTATGCCGATATCTGCTATTAAAGATCTTTTGAAGAAGTGGGAGGATGTCAGAACAATGGTCTTAAAATGGCATCCAAACCAGATTGAGGTTAATAGGCCTAGGGATCTCTACAATTACACTGCTATTAATTACTTCTGAAAAATCATGAAGAAGATAGAAAAGCAATCGACATTGGACAGATTCTTTAACCCTCACAAATGGAAAAAAGCATGACTAATAAAAATGCAAGACCGTGTATATATGTATTTTTATTATTACACATGAATAAATGTAGTAAGAAAGTATATATTTATTTTTTTGGGGTCTCCAGAATGAATTAATCAAATTCCCATAGAAACCTATGGTAAATCGATAATCGGTTAATGAACAATTCGGATAGCAAACAAAGTATTGGAACTGATTATGTTCATTAACCGATCACCTACTGTATTTAATTAATACAAAATATTCTTATTTTTCTAAATTAAAAAANAAAGTAGTCTCCCTGGTAGTGTATACACTTCTCCCAGCGTTCCTGCCATTGCTGGAAACACTGCTGGAATGCATCTTTTGGAATGGCCATCAGCCAGTCCGTCACATTCCGCACGATGTCTTCTCTCGACTAAAATCGGGTTCCTTTTAGCGGCATTTTCAGCTTGGGAAATAGCCAAAAGTCACACAGAGCCATATGGGGAGAATACGGAGCGTGACGAACCACAGGAGTATTGTGTTTGGTGACGAAAGCCCGAATCAGATGTGCAGAATGGGTGGATGCGTTATCACGATGGCGCTGCCAAGTTTTGATCGACCACAGATCCGGTCATTTGCGTCGCACAGCATCGGAAAGATGACGAAGGACCTCCTGGTAGTACTCCTTTGTGATGGTTTGGCCTCATGGTGCGTACTCACGATACACCACCCCATGAGAGTCGAAAAACTGTCATGTGATATTGCTGCGGACCTACCGCGCTTTTTTTGGCCTTGAGGATCATCCCTGAAAGCCTGCTGAATCTTGCGAATGGTTTACGCTCGGGTATCGCCAAGGTTTTTGGCAAAATTTGATGTAATATCGCTGCTCACATTGTTCAGTCATTTTCCAACTTAGTGGAATCTGACGAGAGCTCACTACATGTCTTCACTCATAGGCTGACTGCCAACGACTAACGCTTCCTGCAGGCGGGAAAAAATTCAGGGCTGTGCATGACTGTCCCCTCCACAACTCCACCAAAGGAGTCACTCATAGGCCGATTGCCAATGACTGACGCTTCCTGCAGGCGGGAAAAAATTCAGGGCTGTGCATGACTGTCCCCTCCACAACTCCACCGAAAGAGGCCTCCCGCGCATCATTGGTTTACGCGGAAAAAATAAAAGTCCTCGTATAATTGAACAGATTTCGTATAATTGTAGCTTCATAGTGAAGATGATAATTAAATATATCTTATTCAATAAGCATGTACTAACATTCTGAATACCAAGGGTGAAATAATGAAGTATTGGGTTGTTCGGAAAGTAATTTTGTTTTTTTTACCACTAGATGGATTAGTTGTATTTTTCCTGCCATTTTCATTCTAAACTGTATTATCAATATATATTTTGACAGCTAGCATTTTAAGGCTTATTTGTAAAAAAATTTTGTTTGATTCTGTGCAATTGTTTATTTTTTTGTGTCCCTTCAAATATGGAAGATCGAAAGCAGCATTTTCAGCATAGTTTGCTCTTTTATTACCGAAAAGGTAAGAATGCTGTTCAAGCAAGAAAATTGTGTGACGTGTATGGAGAAAATGTATTAAAAGAATGACAGTGCCAAAACTGGTTTACAAAATTTTGTTCTGGCAATTTCAATATTGAAGATGCACTATGTTCTGGATGGCCAGTTGAAGCCAATGAAAACAAAATAAAGGTACTGATTGAAGCAAACTGCTGAATAACAACACGTGAAATTACTAAGAGATTAAATTTGTCAAATTGAACTGTTTATGATTATTTGAAACAAATTGGTTTTGTTTCAAAGCTTAATATATGGGTTCCACATGTTTTTAAAGAGAGATGCTCTCTTTGGTGGGATTTTAAGGAAATTTTTTTTTGGAGCTTTTACCAGACAAATTTAACAATTGATTTGAAAGTGTACTGCCATTGAGTAAACAAGTTGAATAATATCATCAAACAGAAAAGGCAGCCAGAATTGATCAACAAAACAGGTATAGTGTTTTACCACGATAATGTCAAATTTCACACAAGTTTGATAACTCGTCAGAAACTGTTATAACTTAGATAGGATGTGCTATCACACCAACCATATGTGCCAGATCGAACACACTCAGATTATTACTTGTTTCAATCTATACAAAATTTTTTTAACTGTAAGACACTTACTTGAAATGACAATGTCAAAAATCATTTGGATCGGTTTTTTGTAAGCAACGATCAAAACTTTTATGAATGTTAAATCATGCTACTACCAGAAATGATGACAACAGGTATTTGACCAAAATGGTCGATATATAATTCAATAAAATATTTATTTATTATATAAATATTGTTTTTTTTTCCCCACGGAAAAAACGAAATTACTTTCCGAACAATCCAATATTTACCTCTTGTGGTCTAACTGATTAGATATAAACAATCAGAGTTTGAGACCAATAATCCTGATAATTCCCACTATTTGCAAGAATTAAATTAGGATTAAAGGATTAAGATTAAAATATCTTTTATAACAACATTAGACAGTGAGTTGATCCACGGGTAAGCCTATTGTAAAGATATTGTTCTGAATAGAACTTTTGCAGAAGTTGATATTCTAATGATTGAATATTTTACAAAATACTACAAATAAAATTTTGAATAATATTAATTAATTTAATTTTTAAAAACATGAATTTTCAATGAATATTTACCAGATTCTAGTCTAGTTGCATAGTCTGAGCTGATTGATTGAACTTAAACATACTTCACAAGAACTGAAGTTAGATTTTGTTAATAACCAAATTGGTGCTACATATAAACATTTACCCAAACATATTGAGTAAAATAACTCTTGTGCTATTTTTATTGAACTAACTTTTATATTGGAAGATGAAGAAATAAACCCTTATTTTTATTTACATGAATAGTTTGTCAGATGATATAAAATTTTTTGTAACAATACAGTGGGTGATCAGCTAATGAACAAATTGGATAACGAACACTTTCACGAATGATTTTTATGAATCAGACAACGAACACTTCACTGAACAAACACAAGAAGAAGCAATGTAAAATAACGAATACTGATTGGTCTTCCTTTCTCTTCAGGCAACAATTCAAAACTTTTCGGAGCACGTGAGACGTTGACATCAACGTTCTACCCAGTATATACTGATCAGATAGTATTCCCCCAAACTTTGAAACTCTCCCTTGTAATTCCAGCCTTTTATATTTCTGACAGAAACAATTCTTTTACGTTTTCTTCTGAAAATGCAGATTTATGCCGATATCTGCTATTAAAGATCTTTTGAAGAAGTGGGAGGATGTCAGAACAATGGTCTTAAAATGGCATCCAAACCAGATTGAGGTTAATAGGCCTAGGGATCTCTACAATTACACTGCTATTAATTACTTCTGAAAAATCATGAAGAAGATAGAAAAGCAATCGACATTGGACAGATTCTTTAACCCTCACAAATGGAAAAAAGCATGACTAATAAAAATGCAAGACCGTGTATATATGTATTTTTATTATTACACATGAATAAATGTAGTAAGAAAGTATATATTTATTTTTTTGGGGTCTCCAGAATGAATTAATCAAATTCCCATAGAAACCTATGGTAAATCGATAATCGGTTAATGAACAATTCGGATAGCAAACAAAGTATTGGAACTGATTATGTTCATTAACCGATCACCCACTGTATTTAATTAATACAAAATATTCTTATTTTTCTAAATTAAAAAATAAATTGAAAAGTCTGCTAGTTTAATATTATAAAGATTGCATAAATTATTATTATTTGTTATATCAAAGTATTTTCTTAAAATGTTTATATAAATTATAATATTTGTGAAAATATACAACTCTAAAATTAGATATTTTCCAAGAAAACTATGATGTTCTAAAATTTCATTATTACATATTGATAATGCTACCATATTATTCAAGGAATGAAATTTAACAGTTTTATAATAAACATATATTATTATATAAATTAATCAAATTCAATTATTTTCGTAAACAAATACGTTGAAAGTGTTAAAAAAAAAAAAATGTTTATTCATTAGCAGAAAAATATTTGTGTTTTTTGTGCTAGATTTTTATGGTGAAGTATGCTAGTGACTTTAGAACTAGCCATTTTATATTAGATGAAAAAAAATTCATTCAGTTGATTGAAAATCAAGAAACTATTTGTATTATTCTCTTATGTGTTTATTCTCTTATAATAGAATTAAAGATTTTAACTCAAATGATGGTTTTGGACTTTCTATTGACCAAAATTTTTGAATTCCTAAAGCTATTTTCTAAGCTAGTCACTAAACTTATTTTGAGATCTTGTTTGAGACTTGAGCATTTCATTGCACAAATTTTGTCACTAACATGTTTGAATTTGGTTTGTAAATCATATTTACATTCTAAATTATTTAATCATAAAAGTTAGAATTAAAGTTGTCAACTTTAAAATCTTTCCAAATTTTCAGTATATTATTATTCTTTACCTTAATTGGAACTTAAAATTACTTATACTTTCATCAAATTAATCATATAACAGTTAAAACTCTGAGAAATTTCATTTCAGACTTTTTATTTCAATCATTCTACCAATTTTATACAACAGATGCATTTCAACACAGTCCTCTTCTGCTATAAAAAAAGAACATGACAAAAATCTTCTTTACTTCACAAATGGGTGCATAGGTAGACACTGGGCATCTTTAACATCACTCTTCAGAATATCACACACATCAATACATGTTTTGGGCATACGCCCCTCTTCCGTCAGCCTTTTCTTTAAGACATTTAGCAAAGAGGTGCTAACTAATACACATCCTTTTTTAAAATACATATATTTACAGTTAAAATTTCCTGACAGTATACTGAACAGCACTTGCACGTAGCCTTTACCAGTGTATTAGTTAGCACCTCTTTACTAAATGTCTTAAAGATAAAGCTGGCAGAAGAGGGGTGTATGCCCAAAACATGTATTGGTGTGTAAGATATTCCTGAATAAAGAGTGATGTTAAAGATGCCCAGTGTCTACCTATGCATGCAGTTGTGAAATAAAGAATAATTAAAAGAAGACACAGTTTCGGAATAAGTCAACGTCAAAAATTTTTATAAAATTAATTATACATTATTACATAAAACATAACTTACACAAAAAAACCATACTGTGTGTAGATTGCACATGATAACTGTGTTCTAGAAATAGCTTTAGAATATAAATGGCACAGTAGTAATAATAGAGGTGACAATTAATGCCCAGTTATTCCTTGTGTTTAAGTTGGCCTATGGTTAACTTGATAAAAGTATATGCAGTTTGAAATTATAATTAATAATATATCAGTTCCTAAGAAACTGTTTATATTCCTTACTTGTTAAGCTTTAATTTGAATGCTACATCAGTAACTGTGGGATATAAGAGCATAAATCATTTGTAACATATGTTTTTCATTATTCATAAAATTAAGCTAATTAAAATCAAGAAATAATATAAATTTTCATCTTTACATTATTCATCTATACTTAATTAATTAGGATGCTGTTTTAATCCATCTGTTTACTTACATAGAATTAATTTGCTTAAGAAATAAGTATTACTGATATGATGATAATAAATATAAGTTTAATATTCTAAAATTAATTAATCATGTTTTCCTTACAGAAGTGAAAAATATTGCAGAATTTAATAAATATGTTGTTTTAATCTATGCAAAAGAAAAGAAATTAATATTAATTCAATTTATCAATCAAATCCATCAGAAATTATTTTAAAAATAGTTTTTTTTATTTTTATAGATATCTATACACAGGTATCTTAGATACAAAGTCTTTAGTAAATTTGCCTGAATTGATGGTAGCTGCAGAATACATGGATATACCAGAATTACAAGTAAGTAAAATTTTCTATATACAGTAAAACTTGCATAAACCAGAATTGCATGGTACCAAATATTTTTTCCAGTTTGGCAGGTTTCTATTTTGAACAATTTTCTTAACAGAAAATTGGTCTGTTCTGAAGAATTTTTCCTGCTTAGGCAGGTTTCTGTTTTATTCAGATTCTATTTTGTACAGGCTTTACTGTAAAGGTTATTTCTACAAGTGAATAAATACAAACTTTGATTGATAAATAAGTGCTTATTTTATAAAATTATTTTGAGAAAACTAGAGTAGTATGATCATATTATTCTAGTTTCAAAAAATTACACATACCCATTTATTACCATATGTATAATTAAAACATTTATTTTAATTATACATACTCATTTTTAACATACATTTAGAGTAATACATATTTCCAAACATTCAATCCACTTTTGTATTCCATGCTTGAAAAAACTTTTTTGATTTTCTTTGATCCATTTCCAAATACAGTAGATCCCCCTATAAGACGGTAGATACGTTCCGTTCTTTATGAATCAATTTTGTAGGAATCATAGTTTACGGACTACGGCTGTTTGAAAGGTTTTCTTTCATAAAATTAATCGATTCTAGACTAATTCGACTCAACATTTCCAAAATACGTATATTTTTTTGAAAATAATCCGTATAAACTACGTTATAAACAAAAAATTGTAGGATTGCTTACCGAGTGTGTACCGTTCGACTACGCCCGTTGCTAAAGCTTGGTTTCGTCGCGGAACAGCGCATCAAACCGCGGCCGCGATTTCTGATATTATTTTTCTGCGAAAACTTCGTTGACCTTTGGAGACATCCTTAATATAAATAATTTTTATGGCCGTTAAATAAGAAATGTTTCTTTCACAAGAAATGTATAAAATTACAGTACTGTATTAGACTTACGGTACCTAATTTACATACTGTACAGACGATAGTAAACTCAACTTACTCGCCTAAACTCTCTGTAGCGTGGCGCTGGACGGCGGAAAGTATATATATAATTATAATAAAGTTACAATAAATTAAGTTAATATATAATTATATGTACAGTACCTAATTTATATATAATTAATATATAATTATATGTACAGTACCTAATTTATATATAATTATATGAACAGACGATACTAAACTCAATTTATCCGCCTAAACGTCCGTAGCGTGGCGCTACGGACGGCGGGAAAGTAGTTCGGCTGCCCGATGACGTTTTACGTATTATAGGAGTTATTTTTACCGTTGTTTACGGATACTGCCACAATTTTTATAGGAATCATAACTATAGGAAACGGTTTTATAGGGGGATCTACTGTAACAACTTGAACTTTGATATCCAATGAAAAAAATTGTTCTTTCAACACTCCCTTTAATTTTGTGAACTAAGGTATGTGCAGAACAACCTATATAACTTTAGATTCCTAAATGTCTTTGTTATTTCCTTGCTGCCAATACTATTTCATATCTGCATCTTTCCTACAATCCAGATCTGACACTGTCAGATTTCTGATTGTTTCCAAAATTGAAGTTATTTTGGTAACCACTAAAAAGGGGTTTATAGACAGATAAACAAATTTGTTATGTTCTTCTAATCCAACATTCACCAAAGGTCAAGAACTACTCAGAAAACAATTTTAATTCACAGAGCTTTTATTTATATGCATTTCAGATAAGAATTTTCACTGAAATCTCTATAGTGAATGTTGGATTAGAAGAACATAACAAATTTGTTTATTTGTCTATAAACCCCTTTTTAGTGGTTACCAAAATAATTGATTATATTTGGCAAATATTGCTGATTTTAGCTTTATATCATAATTGAAGTTGTTTTTGAAAGATCAGTGCTTTTTGTTGAATTATGAAGTTTAGTCTGCTTAAAGTTTAGAAATGATTTAAAGTTTTGTCATGCATAGAATGAAAAAATATAGCAATTGTGTGAAAAGTGAAAAAATAATAAATGATTTTTATTATTTTTAAGGATTGCAGAATATTTTCAGTGCCAAAAATTTCCTAAAAAATTATTGCACATTAGCACACAAAATAAAACATTTTATGAATGAATTAATAATTATTACTACATAGTTTGGAGAATTCAGATTAAATTGGTTTATCCTATAATTTGCTTTATAGTACTAAAATGATAAATTAACTTAGTGTTTTTTAGTTTAAAAATTTTTAATTTAAGCATGTGTCATTATTATAGGATAAGATATACAATTATAAACTTGATGTAATATGTTGATTAGTGGAAGTAAAATTGAATCCAATGAATTATCTATTTTTAGTGCAGGAAGTTAATTAATGGACTTTTCCAAAAATGCAAAATTTATGACTATGACAATCTTGCAATTTTTTATGAAAATTATTTAATTCACCAATTTTTGCAAAAGATAGTCAAAACTCTAAAAGAGTTTATTATTATTATTATTATTTATTCAAAAAGAATAAAATAAAATAATGACTGTATTTTTATGATTTAAAATTTATTATAAAATAAAAAATATTAACAACAAAATATGAAAAATATGTTTATAAAACAATGATAACTTTATTAGGTTATTTAATTGAGACAATTCAGAAAAAATTTTTAAATGCAGATTATTATGTAGGCTGTTTTTTTTTCAACCTCCGATGGTCCATAAAACAAAGACAAGTGTAAATAACAAAATGAATTTATTACCATAAGTTAGGTACAAACATGGTTACTTTTCGACATGGAGAAATGCTTCAATCTTCACTGTGATTATGTCGAAAAGTAACCATGTTTGTACCTAACTTATGGTAATAAATTCATTTTGTTATTTACACTTGTCTTTGTTTTATGGACCATCGGAGGTTGAAAAAAAAACAGCCTACATAATAATCTGCATTTAAAAATTTTTTCTGAATTGTCTCAATTAAATAACCTAATAAAGTTATCATTGTTTTATAAACATATTTTTCATATTTTGTTGTTAATATTTTTTATTTTATAATAAATTTTAAATCATAAAAATACAGTCATTATTTTATTTTATTCTTTTTGAATAAATAATAATAATAATAATAAACTCTTTTAGAGTTTTGACTATCTTTTGCAAAAATTGGTGAATTAAATAATTTTCATAAAAAATTGCAAGATTGTCATAGTCATAAATTTTGCATTTTTGGAAAAGTCCATTAATTAACTTCCTGCACTAAAAATAGATAATTCATTGGATTCAATTTTACTTCCACTAATCAACATATTACATCAAGTTTATAATTGTATATCTTATCCTATAATAATGACACATGCTTAAATTAAAAATTTTTAAACTAAAAAACACTAAGTTAATTTATCATTTTAGTACTATAAAGCAAATTATAGGATAAACCAATTTAATCTGAATTCTCCAAACTATGTAGTAATAATTATTAATTCATTCATAAAATGTTTTATTTTGTGTGCTAATGTGCAATAATTTTTTAGGAAATTTTTGGCACTGAAAATATTCTGCAATCCTTAAAAATAATAAAAATCATTTATTATTTTTTCACTTTTCACACAATTGCTATATTTTTTCATTCTATGCATGACAAAACTTTAAATCATTTCTAAACTTTAAGCAGACTAAACTTCATAATTCAACAAAAAGCACTGATCTTTCAAAAACAACTTCAATTATGATATAAAGCTAAAATCAGCAATATTTGCCAAATATAATCAATTATTTTGGTAACCACTAAAAAGGGGTTTATAGACAAATAAACAAATTTGTTATGTTCTTCTAATCCAACATTCACTATAGAGATTTCAGTGAAAATTCTTATCTGAAATGCATATAAATAAAAGCTCTGTGAATTAAAATTGTTTTCTGAGTAGTTCTTGACCTTTGGTGAATGTTGGATTAGAAGAACATAACAAATTTGTTTATCTGTCTATAAACCCCTTTTTAGTGGTTACCAAAATAACTGATTATATTTGGCAAATATTGCTGATTTTAGCTTTATATCATAATTGAAGTTGTTTTTGAAAGATCAGTGCTTTTTGTTGAATTATGAAGTTTAGTCTGCTTAAAGTTTAGAAATGATTTAAAGTTTTGTCATGCATAGAATGAAAAAATATAGCAATTGTGTGAAAAGTGAAAAAATAATAAATGATTTTTATTATTTTTAAGGATTGCAGAATATTTTCAGTGCCAAAAATTTCCTAAAAAATTATTGCACATTAGCACACAAAATAAAACATTTTATGAATGAATTAATAATTATTACTACATAGTTTGGAGAATTCAGATTAAATTGGTTTATCCTATAATTTGCTTTATAGTACTAAAATGATAAATTAACTTAGTGTTTTTTAGTTTAAAAATTTTTAATTTAAGCATGTGTCATTATTATAGGATAAGATATACAATTATAAACTTGATGTAATATGTTGATTAGTGGAAGTAAAATTGAATCCAATGAATTATCTATTTTTAGTGCAGGAAGTTAATTAATGGACTTTTCCAAAAATGCAAAATTTATGACTATGACAATCTTGCAATTTTTTATGAAAATTATTTAATTCACCAATTTTTGCAAAAGATAGTCAAAACTCTAAAAGAGTTTATTATTATTATTATTATTTATTCAAAAAGAATAAAATAAAATAATGACTGTATTTTTATGATTTAAAATTTATTATAAAATAAAAAATATTAACAACAAAATATGAAAAATATGTTTATAAAACAATGATAACTTTATTAGGTTATTTAATTGAGACAATTCAGAAAAAATTTTTAAATGCAGATTATTATGTAGGCTGTTTTTTTTTCAACCTCCGATGGTCCATAAAACAAAGACAAGTGTAAATAACAAAATGAATTTATTACCATAAGTTAGGTACAAACATGGTTACTTTTCGACATGGAGAAATGCTTCAATCTTCACTGTGATTATGTCGAAAAGTAACCATGTTTGTACCTAACTTATGGTAATAAATTCATTTTGTTATTTACACTTGTCTTTGTTTTATGGACTATCAGAGAT